GAGGGCAGATCTGCACGTCCCCCCCCCCCATAGCTATCAATCCAAAACAGTCCAGTGGAGCCTGAGCGGTGGGTGTTGCCTTCTGACACACTTCCAGTGATGTCAGGGGGTGTGACATATGCAAATAAGTTATGCTAATGAGCTCCTGCACCTCTTTTTCTACTAAATGACCCCTGCATTCAGATGTGGTTTGCCATTGCCTGCCTCCCTGTCATGACCCTGGTATTATTAAACAGAATGGTTTGATTTCAGTTTATAATGAAATCAACTGGACTTAACGATGGCATAAGATTATGCTTCACTCCCTCCCTTGGGCAGATCAGGGACTGGTCATGGAGGAGGAGGAGGAGGAGGAGATTGGATTTATACCCCACCCTTCACTGCCCAAAGGAGTCTCAGAGCAGTTTACAATCTCCTTTCCCTTCTCCTCCCCACAGCTGACACCCTGTGAGGTCGGTGGGGCTGAGAGAGCTCTTTCAAGGACTGCCCTTGAGAGAACAGCTCTGTAAGAACTTATGACTGACCCAGGGTCACACCAGCAGTGGGGAATCAAACCGGGTTCTCCCAGATTAGAGTCCGCACTCTTAATCACTACACTGTCAGGACCCACAGCAACAACGGAGTACACACAAGAAGGTTTTACTTTTATTAAAGCTATAGATGCGTTGACAGGAACACTGCTAGGAATGGCGGGCAATCTATGCGCATGAAAGTTTATAGTACATTCATATCAGCAATACCCAATTACCGAGGTTCCCCCGCGTGCGCGTTAGGCTTGGGAACAAATGGCTAATAAAGCAAAACAGGTAAGAGCTTCCCACGACTCATCCTGGGTAAAGCCAAAGCAACTCCTCCAGTGGCCTTGAGAGATACCCGTTGCTGCAGAGAGGCAATTAAGCGCGAGGGAAGGAATGCGCATGAAAAGGAAACTTAAAAACACTTGGCAGCTTGCTGACATACACCAGACTGGCTGTCCATGATGAGAAACACAGTGTGGGGCGTTGCTGTCCTCAGCTACAGGCCTGGTGGATCATCTGTTTTACACGCCCTGTGGAACTGAGCAAGGTCCCACAGAGTGTGGATGTCACCAGGTAGAGAGTTCCACCAGGTCAGAGCCAGGGACAAAAAGGCCCTGGCTCTAGTTGAGATTGAGAACAGGGACCACCAGCAGGTTTTGATCTTCCGAGCACGGCTCTTTGGGGGACATACCAGGAGAGGTGGCCCCAGACTTTTAAGAGCCTTGAAGCGGATCCGGTACTCAACTGGCAGCCAGTACAACCGGTGAAGCACAGGTTGAATGTGCGTTGACCTGTAAGTACCCACGCTGCTGTGTTCTGGACAAGTTGTCATTTATAGGTCAGCTTCAAGGGTAAGCCCAGTGTAGAGCGAGTTGCAGTACATAAGAACATAAGAGATGCCAATGTTGGATCAGGCCAAAGGCCCATCCAGTCCAACACTCTGTGTCACACAGTGGCCAGAAATACCAGGTGCCATCAGGAAGTCCACCAGTGGGGCCAGGACATTAGAAGCCCTCCCACTGTTGACCCCCCCCCCAAGCACCAAGAAGACAGAGCATCACTTGCCCCAGAGCCCCTATCTATACCTTGTGGCTAATAGCCACTTTGTGGCTAATAACCACTGATAGACCTCTGCTCCAGCCCCTGATCTGGTGGCCCCAAAGTGACCATTGTGTGGATCACTGCGGCAAGATCAGGGCTAGAGAGGAAGGGGGCTACTTGCCTGATCTGGTGTAGCTGGAAGCACACCAGCCTGGCAACGCTCACTACCTGGGCCTCCATAGATAAGGAGGAATCCAGGAACACACCCAGGCTCTTGGGCGGTTGGTGCCAGTGTTAGTGGCACACTGTCCAGCGCTGGGAATTGGCACCCAAACTTTGGATCACCACCACCACAGGACCTCTGTCTTTGATGGATTCGGTCTCAACCAGCTCTGCCTCAACCATCAGGCCACAGCCTCCAGTCCCGCAGTCAAATTGGGTGCGGCGGCGGCTGGCCAACCACCCAGCATCAGATACAGCTGGATGTCATCAGCGTTCTGGTGACAACCCAGCCCAAAGCTCTGCACCAGCTGGGCAAAAGGGTGCATATTGATGTTAATGGAGGACAAACAGAGGACCAAAAAATGGGGAGTGGGGTGTCTTTTAAGCTCCCTGGTGGTCTCCCATCCAAATACTGACCGGGGCCAAACTTGTCTGGTTCCATGGTTTGATGTGATGAGGCTACCCCTGGCCTATCCTGGTCAGGGCATGCTAGGCTGCCGAGTCCCAATATTCCCCCCGCCCCAGTGGGTGCGTTCAGACGGGCCATTTAAGCCGGTATAGAAACCAGTTAGAAATGGAGTACTTACGCACGATCACACTCACAACATCTGCCTCCCGTCCCTAACCATTGCCAACCGTCGCGAACACCCCTTAAACCGGTGTAGCTTGCTACTAGGTCCCCAAGTGGTTTTTTCCTGAGTGCTCTGGTTCTAGCCGCATTTTCCCCATCTGATCGCTTTCCGCCGGTGTCTAGCCACTTCCGCTGGGAAGCCTCAGGCTTCTGCTTTTCGCCCGCCATTTTTTTTTAAGCCTCAGTGATATGCGCTTGGGCGAAGCTTCACCCCGGCATTAATTTTTTTTAAGAAGTGATTCATTTTAGGCTTTGGACGAGTCCAGGATCTCACGGAGGCCAGTTTCGCTGTAAAAGTTTAAAGGGCAGTGTTTCTTCAGGGCATGCTTTTTGGGATAGGGTGTTCTGTGCCTGCGCGAAGATCTCAAATCTGTGCATGGCTACCTATGCGCATGTGGAAAATGTAAAAAAAAATTTTAAACTGCAAACACGCGCTGCTGTGCGCCTAATGTGGACGCCTGGGAGCGATGTGTTGCGCAATGAGGGAGGTGAGTGTGACCGCACTTGCCCCGGATCAAATTAGTCCACTTGGAACCGGAGCAGTTTAAACTGCTCCCGGCAGGCCGTCTGAACACACCCAGTGTGTGGGAAATGATATGGCATCACTGCCTCTGGTAAACTGCGTTTTTCAATGTTTATAGTATTTCAACAAATATTTGGACATTGGTCACACTATGAGGTACATGTGAGCTTTCACAAGGGTAGCAACGTCTCCATCAGATAGCAGCTCTCCAAAAAAACCTCATCTGTCTGTAGCTTTGCTCAGCAGCCTACTTCTTCCATGTTTGGATGCCTGAGCTGTTGCAGGATCCAAACCTGTGGGAGACGAGGATAGTCGTGTACAAAGGCGGTGGGGCAAAGAAGGACATGGTGACTTCTGCAAGAGTGGCACCCCTCTGATGTTCCACGACGCACTGGGGAAGGTGGAATTGTTCTCTCAACCTCTTGGTTAATTATTCTAAGGAGAGGTCCGACAAGCAACCGGCTTCCTCAGCGCATGCGTGCAACTCCCCTCTCTCAACCTCTTGGAAGACAGATTACCCAAAAGGTAACGCATACCAGACGCATATCCAAGGGACGTACAAGATGCCTGGCTGGATCACAACAAGAAGGAGGGAGGGAGTATGTGGAGAAGGTCCTCCCGCCATCTCAGCAGCTGTTAATTGTCAAGACTTTGTCAGCAAGACCCAAGAATTGCTGCCTCAGGGCGACTGCCAATATTGCTAAGCAGCAGGGGTCATTTCCTGCAGGAGCGCA